TACTACGTACTAAGACCTACTACCACTACGACGAACTCAGAGACGACACACACACACACACACACACACACACACACACACACACACACACACACACACACACACACACACGCACAGTGCAGTGTGGGCCACCTGTGACCTTTGAGAAACATTCATGCTGATTTGACAGTACTAAAGAAGCACTCTGAGAACACCAGAAATATTTAACCAACACTTTACCTTACTCTCAAACATATTGTGGTCTGTTCGACTTTTTAGGGAGACATACAGAGATCAATATTTTTGCAATGCTTATTTGAAGCCCACTCACCCTGCCGTTGCTGATCACTGCTCCCTGTCCTGGGCTCAGCTTCAGGACGTCTCGACAAAACAGCTGCTGACTACGAATAAAATCCACTTCCAATGTGTTGAACTTCTTCTCAAAGGCATCAACGTCCATGCCCTAGAGCAGAATAACAAATGTTTGTTTAGGATGTTAGATAAATTGATTGGCTCAGATTTGAATTTGTGATGTGCTGCAAGATCCAATAGACTAGCTCAAGGACCTTTCTCCCTTTACAGCCTGTCCAAAACAACATCCGAGTGATGCATTGGCCTTAGGAGTGATGTATGTGAGGCCAAAACATTATTCACAACATCATTGATGTCTTGCTTCAGCGCACTCACTGCAGTTTCTAAACAAGGACTACTTCAGCCAGGGCCGAGCTGTCAGAAATGCACATGTGTGAAAATGAGATTAATCCATTTGTAATTAATATAACAAACGCTTAATTAAGCCTCGGCCATATTTGTCCATAACAAATTAGGTGTGGGAGTGTGGCTGGTTTGTGGAGTCAGGTTATTAGTTTCTCCCACATCCCTCCTCAGGAGAACAGGTGAAATACCAATAACGTCAGCACAATCCAGTCAGCAAGTCTGTCTGGCAGCCAATAATAAACTCATATCCCTCGACTCTGGGTCTCAACTCACACAGCCACCTCCTACCCATCTTTTCATTGCTATTTCCAGCCTATTCTCTCCCCATTGTTTACGGCTGGTATAATTGAAGGCCAGTTTGTTATGGGTGGTCCCAGATGTAACCTGTGCTGTATGACTTATTCCTGATGGAAGAGATGGGAGCACTCCTGTCAGCTGATTTGTTGATTAGAGCATGAGAATTTGTTTTCTTGTGTGTAAAGCTGTGTGGGTGGATACTGCACACTAGAGCATGGAGAAAAGTAGTGGCTGTAGACTGCTCACAGCGGCAGAGTGATGGTCAGGCTTGGCTGAACACATGTGACTTTTTACACAGGCCTGAACGGTGAACAGGAGCTCGGCTATTCGTCAGGTCCGGAGACCAGGTATCCACCGGCACTTTATATGAAAGACTCAGCATGTGGAGCCCGTCTTGTACTGGCCCTGTGACAGACCAAGTGGAACTGAGTGGCATCCACAGGCTGTGGAGCGTTGTGCGTGCCCTAAATGTATTCTTTTAGCTGATGTTCAGGAGGGGAACGAGAAGATGGGCTCATCAATCACCATTTCCCCTGACTGTGCATTTGAATCAAGAAAGCAGTGGCAGATGAATCTCTTTAAAAGTGGATATATCCAACCTTTGTTTTCCTCATTTTTGTCATTATGTTCATCAATTCTGCTTTAAAAAGGTTATCAATTATCAGTGTCCAATCAAATACTTCCCATTTTGCAGAGATACACCATTCACTTAAAAACAACTAATCAAAAATATTTGATTTCTAACTGTACACACAGTAACACCGGTGTTGTAGTCCTGCATATCTTTCAGGGTTGGATGATACAGGTCTATGTACAATAACTCAATATGAATGTGTTGGCGGTTGGAGCTTACTGTTTATATTTGGGTAGCTATCGCTTTCATATCTCTGGTTGTATTAGTCCGTGACAGGCAATGTTGCAAATCAATGAGCAGGACTGTTTTATGGCGCCATTGGATTTATAGGACTGTGCAGCAATGTGATGAAGTACCTCAGGTACTCTACTTCTCACACTGGTTTATTCTAAAACCGATATTTACATGTGGTTTCGTTTATAAATTGTTTATATATTGAATTTCTAGAAAATGAATTACCAAAAAATATATCAATATGGTCCTTTTAAATTGCACGTGCAACTGCAGATGTTATCTTTATCACCCACACCGCGCCCCTCATATCTATAAATAACGTGATGGTATCTCACTTGTCAAATTGATACATTTTGAGTACCGGTAGTTTGATTTGTTGGCCTCCACCTACGCTAAAAGGCCTTCATGTGTTTAACAAAGCAGGTTATCATTTTCAATTTTCTAAGTCAGCCTCGACCATTAGCATCAGAACATTGCTGTATACCTGTATGACCTAAATAAACATTACAGCACATTGTGGTGGCAGGGATGAGAAATATCTCATTTGCCGATATCCTTCTTATACGAAGAGTGAGAACATTTCAGTCAGGAGGCAGATCACACATGCTCCAAACCCAGCATGGATGTGTCATCTTGGTTATGCTACTTGCTAATAAAGTAAGCTCACACAGGTTCAAATAACACTCCATAATTACACCACAATGTGCTCATGTTGCCCAGAATAAATAACTCGGAAAATGTAAGCATAATCTCATAGCAGTGTGATTGTAAATGCGTAGATGTGTGTGATCAGACGCCATTCGGAAATTATTTTCAGGGTTTGGCTTTTCTTTTTGTCCAGAAGGATTACCAATACCAAATCTGAATTACATGAATACAGATGTATATCAATATAATATGAGATATTTCACTCAGACCATTAATTACACCAATTACATTAACTCTAAGATTTAGATTGTTGGTGCCAACAGTATACCATAGCAGAACTTTTGTTTGATACCTCTGTGATTTTAAAAATATTTATATGTTTTAGTTAGAGATGTCCCGATCCGATCACGTGATCGGGGATCGGAGCCGATCACGTGATATTCAAAGGATCGGAATCGGGAGAAAAAAATCGGGGATCGGGATTTTTTTGAACTGATCCAATGCTGCTGTGAAAAAAAGAAGCTATATCCATGTTGGATAGAATATCCAATTTAAATAAAAAAATAACCTTAAGGGACAACTTGAATGTTTTTTTTCCTCTCAATGCATTGCATAAAGATCGGATCGGGAAAAATCGGTATCGGCAAATTGTCAAAATCAAATGATCGGAATCGGATCGGGAGCAAAAAAAGGTGATCGGGACATCCCTAGTTTTAGTTTTCCGTTACAAAATCCGCTCCATCTTTAAAGAGAAGCCACAGGAGCTTTGGTCAAATAAAGTCTAAACGTGGTAGTGCTTTGATTTAAAATTACTAAGTTATTATTTCCCAAGTAAGAAACTACCTAAGAAAACCAGGCTATGAATGTCATGATATTTTATGTAATGGCAAACAATACATGATCTGAACGGATTCCATTTTGAAATATGAAATATATAAGGCACATTAAATATCTGGAATCATATATCTCGGATCTGACGAAACGGAGATAAGTGCACTCCTGAATCAATCCTTTACCTGCGTCAGTAGGTCCTTTATCTTGGTCCCCTGTTGGAGGAGCTGGCTGCTCTCGTCTTTCACAAGTTGTTGCACAAACTCTGCTGCAGCCTTGTTCTTCTGGGTGAGGAGAGAGGCCCAGATAGCCCGGTACAGCACGCTGTTATCTTCGCTGGGCTTTCCGCTGGGGTTATCTATCACCCCCACTCGCACTCCAGGGCTGGCCTTCTGCTTGCACACACACACAGCAGAGATATAATTCAGAAAATATCACAGATTCCCTTATTTTCTCAGTCCCCAGGTGTCACTGACTGAGAACTCTGGGACGAGAGGAAGCGGATTGCTTAAAAGTAACCGGAAAGGCTTCTCATGGTCTGCTTATTTTATCAGCAAAGAATCTTTTTTCATGATAAAAGAAAAATGCCTTTAAGCTTATTTCATCCATAGTGTGTCAACAAGGGAATATTTCATTGTAGAAGCATCTGGATTGATGATTTTTGAGAGTAATGTATTTTCAAGGGAAATGTCCCTATTTGTAGGTCATAAAGCTCTGCACTAAGCAGTTCACACAAAATACAAATGCACTTTATCTCTCCTGCTTGTAAGTGAGGTTTAGATGTACAGTTTTGTCACATCAAAATTGGTGTCAAAGAAAGACCAATGTGAAAAAGGTTATTGATTGAGTTAAATTAGATTAAGGCCTGTAATATATTGTCAAAACTTAATTACAAAAAATGTTTCATTAGTAATGTAAATTGATTTCACTCCAATAATATCAGTATGTATGCTTTCAAACGCACAACAACCGACATATAACACATACCGTAATTTTCGGACTATAAGCCGCGCCTTTTTTCCCATTTTTCGACGCTGCGGCTTATATAACGGTGCGGCTAATCTATGGATTTTTACAGCTAACGGCCACTAGGGGACCTCCTAAATTTTACAGGTTACAGTCCACCACCTTTAACTCTATGGGCTCTATGGCCGGTCCGCGGACCCCACTTAAGCGCTGGCTCCAGCAGGAAAAGCTGGAGGCCGGAAAAGAGTGAGACAGGTAGCGCGCAAAAGTAAAAGTGGAACCGAGAGTGGTACGAGAGACAGAACGAGAGCAAGACAGACAGACATTACGAGAGCGAGACAGTTTGTCCCCGTACCACTGGTTGAAAACCGCTGCTGTAGATCACTGCCGGTACGTGCGCTGGGAGCGCACCGTTTAAGTTTGAAAGTTGAAAAGTTTGTGTGTCTGAAACGCTTTGTGATACAGTACAGTTTACACAGCACAGTACATGTTCTGTAGCTACTATTGCACTAAATGGTAACACTTGAATACGTTATGCAAATATGCAACTTGTTTGTTGAAATGTTAATAAATGGGAGCTTCCTTAAACAGCCATCTCTTTCCCGACAATCCCCTCTGTGCACGAACCCTTACATATGGTAATTAAACATTAAAACACCTGCGGCTTATAGTCCAGTGCGGCTTATATATGTACACATCATTCAATTTAGCTGCTGCGGCTTATATTCAGGTGCGCCTTATAGTCCGAAAATTACGGTATATATATGTACGGTGGGTCAATGTGTGACTTCCCAAGTGGTCCCTATTGGAAAGTTAATGATTGGTTGAAAGAATGAGGAACAGCCATGATACTCACCATATGTTTTAGAGCATTTAATAAAAGTTTTCTTCCTGAGATCTCCTCAAAATCTCCGACTATCCACATGGTCACCGCACTCATCCCATCCTCATCTAGGGTAAAAGAGCAAAACACAAAGTGTGCTGGAATATAAATCATATTAATGCAAATAAATGACCTTAGGAAAAGCAGCAGTTAAACAGAAAAAGTGTTGAGCCTCAGGGTTAGGGCTAACCTCCTGTCTTCAGGAAGTTTATTCTAGATCTGTTGAGCATAGAAGCTGAAAGCTGCTTCTTAGGGTTGGCTCATGATGATGAGAATCCGATGGAAAGTGAAAAGGGGAATTAGGAATGTTCAGTTTGTTTTGAAGGTGAGAGGGACTGAGGCATCTGGCAGAGAGCTCAGTGTATGAGTGGAGAAGTGTGCCACCTGTCACAGTTATCACCCCCCCCCAGTTAGTGAGTCAGTCAGTCAGAAAAGCAAGCAGCCGATCAGCTAGTCCACAGAGGAGGATGGCAATCAGCCTCCTCATCCTCGCTGAGACAGCCACACTGCAGGCCTGAGCAGTGAAATGCAGCTCTGACCGTTTAGAGTGTCGGCCCACAGCCAGTCAGCAGACCCAGCAATTATCTTACTGGAGGCACAGCCGGCTTTTACAAAAGGTCAATTTCACACTTTCATAGATCAGTAAAGCCGTGAAGGATTACTTCTTGTTCAGATAATGCTTATTTTACAGAAATCAACATGTAAATGAAGAGTGGTTGGTCCACAGAGGAAAGAATTCAGATGCTTGAGTTAATGATTTGAATTGTTGCAAGTCATTGTGGAAATTAAATCACGTGTTTTCTTCTGCAAGAGTTCATTAGGAGCCAAGATTTCAATAACAAGCAACTTCTTACCGTTATTTGTAAAGTATTTCATTCTCTTGGCCACCACTGCCGTTTTGTCTCTGGAGTCGTAGTATGAAAACATAGTGGTGTCCTCCCATTCATCGACAACTGCAAAGCAAGGAAGTGGAGGAGTTGGGAGTGTTAGGAGGAAATGAGAGGAACCTAAGCAAGGAATCAATAATAAATAGTTTAGGATGTACAGGGCACCTGGCTTGGCAGTGAAGTCGAGGTATTTCCGCTCAGTGCTTAGAATAAGAGGGTTCATCCTGGGAACCACGTTGGCCTGCTCCATTAGATAGTCCACCACATCGGAGCCCTCAGTCAACTGACCCTGTAGAGAGAGAACAGCAATCCATACATTCATACTGGATCTTGCCTGTTCCGCACTTCTAAAAAGTTAACAGTGATGCACGCGTCTGCTAAAGCTATAATGTTGAGGGCTAGGAAGGAAAAGGTATAAACTATAAATGTAAAAGTGCAAATTACAATGTTTAAAGATTTACCCAATTATGTTTAGCACACAGGATTAGCTCAGTTTGATCATATATTCTGCAATAGACCACTCTCAAATAGAAATTCCTGGCAATAATAATAATAACAATAGATTAGATTTGTATAGCGCCTTTCAAGGGACCCAAGGCCGCTTTACATGGTGAACAAACAAACAAAAGGGGCAAATAAATAAGATATATATTACTTGTATGCAAACTATAGACCAACTGCTAATGGTGCACTTATCTATGGTTTCTCTACTTCATTTCATTAATACTGTATCATTTTCTATATTTATCTAAATGTTCTACTGCTGGCTCAGAGAGATGTAGGTCTGGCAGGTGGTACATGAAGCGTGAGTCACTTTCTGTACAGATTCTGTCGAAGATTTAGTGTGGTACCATAAAGACAGCTCTCTGGAAGGCGTTGGTGGTGTCCATGATGCGCTGCAGGATAATGGTCTCCAGCTCCTCTGGATCCATCTCTTCGGGGCTCAAGGGGACTCCATTAAATAAAGCCAACGGGAGGGCACCAAGGCCACTCCTTTTGTAGAAGAAGGCACCCTCCTGGAGCACACAAATCAATGATTACATCTTTGGCTGCTCCTGATTATTAGTTTTTGATTCATTCTTACAAGCAGTTCATGTAAAAAGGAGAGCTCGTTTCTGTATGCTTACCTTTCTTTTGTCATCGTACTCAGATTCTACACTGAGAATCCTTTCAGCGTCGGTTTTAGGGAATTTTCTCTTGAGGTAATCAGAGATTGTGTCAACAGACAGCGTCTCCCCGACATCTACTTTGTTGTATAACTGTAGGAGAGTGGAAAGTCAGATGGAGTTCACCGTCTCAGACACCTGGAACTGTCAATAGTTCCAAACAGTGGCTATTTCAATGTGAGATGTTAGGAGAGGCAAAATCCAACTGACTCATCTCTCTCATCAATAATGTCTCAAACACCACGGGAACACAAGGCACAATAACATAACTGACTTCGGAGGCACGAAGAGATTTGAACTGGCGTGGAGTTTGTTTGGATTAGATGTTGTTAAAAAACTGCTTTCTAAAACAATACAAATGTAGACATGTGATCTACTTACTGAGACCATGGATATCAGAGCCTGGGATAAATCATACTCGTCTGCGATGTAGTTCAGCAGTCTGTAAAATCCAACCCCTGCGTCTGAGGCGCCATCAATCTCATCCTCGGTGTTGACAACAAACACAAATCCAATTCTACAGGAGGGGGGGGGGACACAACAAGTTTTCAATTTGCAGGTGAAATGAGAATCACTACCTGGTTAAGGTTATACATGCTAAGGGTGGACCATATACACAGCTGTGGAGGTGTGAGAAATAACAGCACCAACCTCAGTGGGATCTTATGCTTGTAGAATAGCTCTGCTAGTTTCACCAGCTCAACACTTTCTTCCCGTACTGGATCTAGGAACAGCACCTAAAAACAGAGGCGTCGTCAAATCTGAATCATGATACCTTTCCATATGACCTTTATTCAACTCGCATCATAAATGAATAAGAGTTGAGCAGACACAACAAAACACAGTTTGGATAATACACATGTTAGGTATTCAAAATGTACTCAGCATTCCATTTCTCTGAATGTACTAACTGGAATGTTAGGATTGCAAGAAACCCACGATTCCATTTTTTGTATTGACCTTGTCTAGCAGAAAAGAGTGAGACGCATCTGAAGAGTTTTACAGTTTCAATACAATGGAGACCTTTCTCAATTCCACACTCTTTATCGCCACTACCCTGCAGCATTTCGGGCCATCGGGGGACTCACCAGGTTGAAGAAATTGCGTCTGATCTGCCGGATGACTCCTGGAAAAGTGGCTCTGAGGAGCTCCTGAACGCCTCGCGGCCAGCTGTGGTAGGGAGGGTCGTTCTCTATGTCGTTTATCCACTGGAAAGGGCATGAAGATAGACGGAATGTGAGAACATGTGATATTCGTCAGTTAAATACAAGTAACAGATCAGCTAGAGTAGAAATATCTCTGAATGGTGTTTTTCTACATTGTGCTTACATTTCTCAAATGGTTATCATAATAATATACATTTCATTTATATAGCGCTTTTCCTGGTGCTCAATGCGCTTTTGTGACATTGTACCCATCAAAGAAATCAAAAAATACTAACATCCGCGTGAAGACAGACTGTTGAGGAACCTGCGATCTAAGCTTTTCATACGCAACATACTTACACCGTCGTCATGACAATAATGAAGATACACCAGCAGACTTCAACACAGAAAGTATATAAAAACG